AAAAAAGAGCGCTTGAGGTGTGGTTTTGAATAGATGCTGACTTAAAGTATGCCCTGAATCTAAATTCAGCTCTCAGGGGCTCACTTTTGAGGGGGCCCAGGATACATATGTATTACTACACACAGTAATGTGTAATTAGTAACAATAATGGGCAGCAAGGTGGTGTAGTAGATAGTGCCAGGCCTGCAGTCAGGAAGACTCATCATCCAGCCTCAGAAACTGACTAGCTTCGTGACCCTGGGCAAGTCACTTAATTCTGTTTGCCTCAGTTTCCTCATCTGCAAAATGCGCTGGAGAAGGAAATGGCAAACCACTCCAACATCTTTGCCAAGAAGACCCCAAATGGGGTCACGGAGAGTTGGACACGAGTGAAACAAGTGAACAACGCCACTCATAGGTAATCAGTTAGTACTTGTTGAATGAATGCATTCTGTCTCATTGTTAGCGGCTTGTTTCCCCCCAATGCGGTTGAGAACACTGTCAGCGTAGAGTGCATAAACTGATCGTCCGCTGTGTAAGCAGGTGGGGCTTTCCCACACTAAAAGCATGAATGAAACATTGAGGTGCAAAAACATGTGTGTGAGGCCCATGAAGTCTCCTCCAGACACTTTTTTAAATGCAGGAGACGTCCACGCTCCTGGGTGACTGCAGGGCATGGCGTCCTGCAAGGCTGAAGACGCTGAACGGCAGTTCTCTGATTCTGTACCCATCGTAGCACTAAATGTCAACCGGAAAGTCCTTCTCTGTCCTTAGATCAGACAGCCACCTACATGGTATCACGAGTGAGGCTCACTCACTCCAAATAATCTTCCTCATGGGGCTTCCAGCTCTGGCGCCAAAAACTCAGCCAGGAGAGCCTTCCTATCCTCCAGGCTCCTGCTTTGTTCTGAATAGCAGCTGGATGCGCTCATAAAGTCCAGAAGCTGGCAGGCTGGGAGTGGGTCTGTCCTCTAGGGAAGGTAGCATGGAAGGACGAAAGAAGGAAGGGCACAAAAGACAAGTCAGCTTCAGGAATTGGCCACAGGCTGCCCCTGGGGGCTTCCCACACTGCCATAGTCCCATCCAGGGGTGCTGGCACCAAGGCCAAACCAGGAGTGTTAGGACCACCTCTTCTGCCCCGCTGTGCCTCTGCTCTCTAAAATCCACTAGCAAACTCAATAGTTCCTCCTCTTCTGGGAAGGGTTTCTTGACTGGTCCCAACAAGCAGACCGTGCCATTTGTTCCAAATCCCCTTGAGAACTCTGGGATGCCTGCTTCTTTGAGGAGTTCTGTTGGTACTTAGGTATGTAGCTTATCTCATGCATCAAATCAGATACTCTCTGGAGGCACAGGCGGGCTCTGCCATCAGATTCAGGGCTGTCCTCCAAAGACAACACCCAGATCACCCCATCAGAGATTTCGGTGTTGGAAGGGCTCTTAGAAGTCATCTAGCCCAACCCCCTCCACTTTACAGACAAAGAACCAGAGAAGGAAATGATTTACCCAAAGTCACAGCTAGGCCAGCGGCAGAGCAAAGATTTGAATTCAGACCTTCTGACTGCAAAACCAAAGTCCTTTCTTTCTAATAACGATAGCTAACATTGATACGCCGCTTTAAGGTTTGCAAAGCATTTTCCAAATATCTCATTTGATCCTCACAACAACCTTGGGAAGTAGGTGCTATTATTATCGCTACTCTGTAAATGAGGAATCCTAAGCAGAGAGCTTAAGTGACTTGCCCAGGTTCACACAGTGTCTGAGGCTCACATCTGAACTCCAGTCTCCCTGATCCCACTGCCACAATGGATAGAGTGCTGGACCTGGAGTCAGGAAGACTTGCCTCAGACTCTTAATAGCTGTGTGCTCTGAGCAAATCATGTCACCTCTGTCTGCCTCAATTTCCTCATCTGTAAAATGGGAACAATGACAGCACTTACCTACCAGGGTTGTGGTAAGAATCAAATGAGATATTCGTAAAGTGCTTTGCAAACCTTTAAATGTTACATAAATGCTAGCTATTATTATTTCTATTGCAAAATGCTGAGATTTCCTCAAAGTCGGAGACCATCTCCTTCCTTTGCATTTCAAACCCTCTCACTCCACTGCACAATTTTGTTTCTTTTTGGTTTCTGATCTCTAGGGTCTGGGATGGTGCCTTGTACCTAGTGGGTAGTTGATCATTCTTTTAAATTAAATTACACCATGTGCTTTAGTGAATATCCTTGACAGCTAATTTTTAACTTCAAGTCACTATGTAAAAAGTTTGGAAAATGTAAATGTCCTTGTCGGGATTATGAGGCTATGTTGGGGTTTAGGGAAGGGGCACCCCAGCTCTTTGTACACATTGGGCTGGGAGGGGGTCAGGTCCATCAGCTGGTGGCTCCCTTTAGTGGACTTCATACTTGATGTCACAAAAATTTGTGACTAGGGATAATTAGAGCAAAAATTAAAAACCAAAACCAAAATAAAACAAAACCCTTCCTCTTGGCTCAGAAACTAAAGTCCACAAGCATTTTCAAAGGAATTTTTTCCCCTTTATTCTGCCATATTTGAATTTGGATATAAGAGGGGTTTTGGTATATGTGCTCTAAAACGAAAATTTACATACACAAAATTCATTAAGTGACCAAACATCTGAATGTCTTTAAAGTTGTCGGAATATTTCACAGGAGGCATTAGTACCAAGTATTCTAGAGAGAGAAGAAAAAATAGAGACTACAGTAGACTTAGGTGAAATAGGAACAGTACTCAAACTCTGGGCTCTATTTCCTTCTACCTATATGACCACAAGTCACTTCCTCTCTCTGTTTCCTCATCTATAAAAGGAGAGGGTTGGATTACGCGATTGCAGAGGTCCCTGGCATCTTGTTTTCCTACAACTTCTTCCTGAAGCTTCAGGGCTTAGGGCCCCTCCTCTACTAAAACTGTAAGCTCTGTGAAGCCAGGGCTGTGCATTTGAGCCTTGTAACCTCTCTTCCACAGCAGGTATCCAATAGAAGCTCACTGACTCACACCTGTAAGCTTTAAAAGATACTCTGAGGAGCAGGGGAAATGGTCCAACCTCTTTCTCTTGGGGAGGAGATGAGTATAGCTTTCTCCCGAAGTCAGAATTATGGCCTGGACTTGGGAACCTACCAAAGGCCCCTAGGTGACCCCCTGACCATGAGGAGTCTGACAATAGAAAACTGAAGGACACAGAAGGAATGGCTTCTTCAGAAACTTACAAGATGGAGGCCAACTCCTCCAAGTAGCCATTCCTGATCGGTCCCAAGTCCCCACGTTCTCTAATCTACCAATAAAACCTGTCTGCCCATCTCGCCAAACTGGCATAGCCGTCTGTATTTATGCAACGGATTCTACGGCTAGTGTGTTTGTCCAGGACATTGCTCCCATTCGAACATAAGTTCCACGAAGACAGTAGATGTTTATTCATTTGCCCTTCATGGAAGTGAAGAAATGCTTTTGGAGTAATGGAACGGCAGCTGGGCTGGCCTTGAGATTAGAACTCCCATCCTGGCAAAATCTGATTGAAGCTCTAAAGTCAGGGCCACTTCCATTTCCACCTACTGACCCCTAGTGCTGAGAACACAAGGCAACAGCATTCCATAGCACCTAGAAGAGGTGGAGAGGGCAAAGAAGGCACGTGGAGCAGCCCATGCGTAGGGGAGAATTTGAGGAGTGGCCGGAAAAATACTTTTGGGATCCCACTCCTCTGCAGAGTGGCAGGGTCATGGCCAGCTGGGAAAGCACGGCAGCCAACTAAAGGGGGCCCAAGACTGCTGCACTTGAAGGGCTCCCTGGAGAGCCAAAGTACCGTGAGAAATCTGATTCAAAAGGATGAATCTCAGGTGCAGAAAGACACCCTCATCAGGGATTTTCAAAAAAAGATGAAATGATTTTTAGTGTAGCTAGTGTGCTTACTAATTTTGGGTTGGGCCTGTGATCACACCAGTTTGTGGAAATTGTCTCCATCATGGCAGTTTCCCTGTATCACATGGGTAGAGAACCACAATGCCCTTCAGTTAAGAGACTGGTTAGTGAAGAGTGGCAACACACTCAGTACCCTGGCTGTCTTCAGCACTCTTTTAGACAGGAGATGGTCGTCTACATTTCAGCCAAGAAGCAATGCCAGAAACATTCTAAACCTTGCCTGAAGGCTCGGTGACTTGCCTACGGTCATGGCCAGCCTTGAATCCAGGCCTTCCCATCTCCAAGGCCTGCATTCCATCCACCAGGCCCTACCACCTCTTCAGTGTGCATTATTGTATTCTAATTCTTTATAGACTACCAGTCTACAGATCTAGCTATAGAGATACAACTGCCCACTAGAATGTCCAATGACATTGAGGGCCAGTTTATTATGGATGGAGGGGCCTTAAGGAGCAGTGAGGATCTCAGAAGCTCATGCATCCTGGTTCCTCTGCTGCAGTTAACAACCCACGGAATAGAAACTTAGGCCCAGACTCGACATGCCTGCCTTCTTCTGCCCCTCTAAGTGGTCCCATGGCCTTGCTGTAGCTCCCTGGGATCTTTGTGGGCAGTACCAGACCTCCTCCTCTCTGAATAGGACCCTGCCCCCAACCTGCAGGGATCTCCTCTGCTCCGTGCCACCCACAAATCTATCACAAGCCAATTTTATTAGCATTTCATGAGTTAGTCCTGTTTCTCCAATTAGACCGTGAGCCGCCAGTGAGCAGGGACTGTGTCTTCTCTTTGTATGTCTAAGAGTGCCAAGCACAGAACACCATAATGCTTATTGACTGGCCTATTTCGTGATATCCTGCCAGAAAGGCTGTCATCAGGGAGGGAGTGCACAGAAGACTCTGGTCCCTGACAGCAACCTTCTCCCAGCTCCTTTCCAGAAGGGAGCCCTGGACCTCTCCACAGGAGGATTAGCCTTTGGGACGGAGGACATGGGGATTATTCTCTCCCTTCCCCTTGCTGTCTCAGAAGAGAACATTCGCTGCATACCATCCCTCCTCTCCCCAGCCCATGATGCTACATCAAAGAAGCTAAAAGGGTCAGATCATTTGTAGGTATATTTATACGTAAATACAAAATTGTATCACCATAAGGTATTGAATATGAACATTTACAATTATTCTCCAAATCTGACTCAATCCTTGAACGTTAAATACAAAATGAAAAGATTGTAAAAATAAGAATATACACATTCAAAGAGCTTGTTACAGTATAAAATGACCGAGGGCCACTCAGCCGCCAACCTCATCTTCTGGGAGGAAGGAGCTTTTGCATTACTGACAGTCTCCCCCTCAGCACAGGGGGCAGCTGTTGGTGATGTCGGGCTGGGGCAGGACAGTGGGGTGATGAACAGCAATTCCAGAGCTGGGGGGGGGTCTCTTTGTGGGGAGTCCCCAGCCAGGAGCCGCTTTCAGCTCTTTCTTGGCCCAGAACCAGGATGTGGCCGGCACAGAAAGAGCATCCAGATGACGGGGAAAGCAAGGGTAAGAGGCAGCACAGAAGGGAATGCTTCAGAAAGGCAAATGAGAAAGAAAAGCTCTTCTTGTCAAGTGATACCTCCAGGTCAAGTTCCCCTTCCTGTATTGGGCCCAGGGTCCCTGTGAGCCCTTTGAAGACTTCGTACCGATTGCCTTTGGCCTTGGCTCCTCAGTGAGTTAATCCCCATCATCCCCTGGGGAGGACTAGCGAGAAATACGGGGTCGAATGTCACAGTGGAGATCTGCAGCTCCTTATTCAAGGTAAAGGTTTCCCCAATGGATAAGGTAAACAGAGGAAAAAAATGTTATGTTGGGAGAATAACACACCAGGGTCACCACATACAGCATTCCCAGGGCCAAAGGCAGGCCATGACCAAGAGAGGGGCCTGGTCCACACTCAGAAGGGGGTGTAGATGGTGGGGAGCAGGGTGAAGGACAAACATCCTCCCTGTCCAACAACATAATGCATAATTGACTCCCCTCCCACATTCCCTCGGGTGGGAGCGCCCCACGGGCAATGAACAATGCCATTTCTGAAGCGACCTCTAAGGAACATGGCGGCCTGACCTCCAGCATGGAATCCCATGAACTGCTGGAAAGAGGTGTGTTCGTATGGATTTATAGAATACGTACATATTAACACATACAGTATATATTACTCACACACACATACAGACAGATCCAGGCCCCTGCACACGTAACACACACACACACACAGGCACACAGAATGGTAGATAAGACTGGAGGACATGCCTTACTTCTTACACCTTCTTGGCACTGGGGATGATCTCTAGGATATGGGGTTGGTCAGACTCTCCTGGGATGAACTAGAGGTGGTCTCTCACCTCCTTCCCCATCAAACTGTGGCAAAGTCGAGGTGAGGGGAGTTGGAGAGGGGAAGAGAAAAGCCTTTCCCACTTACCTCTGGGGACCCCTGTCAAAAAACGGTAGCCACAATTTGGTTTTAATAAGGCACAGTTCAATAGCAGGTGCTAGAAATTAAGAACACGAGCTGCTAGCCACTGGCTACTTGTGGAGATTTTATCAGAGCTAGCTAGCCAAAGGAAAAGGCTGCAATGTACCAGGAGACATAGAAAGAGGTGGATCTGTTTCAACATTACTGATGGCCACCTAGGGGCTTGGCAGTGTCCCAGGGAAAGGGAGGAAGGCTGGCGGAAGGTTACCGATGGGCAGGTGAGAGGCCCCAGGTGCCAGCTATTGCCTCTCGATGCCCAGAAGATGGCAGCCAGGGGGCACCAAGCCCTCCTTCAGGGCATATTCAATGATGGCCTTGTAACAGAAGAAGTACTGCTCCGGGGTCTGGATGCTGAATGCCCTCTGGGTCCTCATGCGGGACACTGTCTGAAACACATTCAGCGTGCCCAGCTCCTCCAGCTGTGCCAGGCAGATGTCCAGTGAACAAAAGGTGCCTGTAGAAGGAAGCAGACGGTCAAGCTTGCTTTTCTACCAGTGCCCCTGCCCCAAAGGAACTGAAGTTCTGTCAAAAGTATTCTGAAAGGGGCAGCTAGGGGGCGCAGTGGATAGAGCACCGGTCCTGAAGTCAGGAGGACCTGAGTTCAAATCTGGCCTCAGACCAAGCACTTGACACTTACTAGCTGTGTGACCCTGGGCAAGTCACTTAATACCAATTGCTTAAAATTTTTTTTAAAAAGTAGTCTGAAACAGAAAAGAACGTAGAACAGTGACAGCAGACGCCCGCCACAGGAGTCGGGACACCTGGAAACAAGCTGGCACAAAGGCGTGTCTAAGAGGAGATGGCAGAGGTGGCACACTGCACATCTGTCAGACTTAACGGATTTGTTGGGGGGTGATGTGTCTGCTTTTTTATTCTGTGTTACAATGGATGCTCACGGGGGGGAGGGAAGCTCTACTTGGAAATGAAGACAATTTGAAACAAGGTATCAAGATAAGAAGGGATGCTTGTCCCAGAACATAATGGAGGTATAGGAACAGTGAGGGAAAAAGTGCAGCAAGGACCCTCCAACTGGGATAAGACAGGACCCAATTCCTTTCAAGAGTCACCTTAACGGCTGGGTGGGGTGAGGCATGAGACAAGCACGTAGGCCCTTCATTCCACCAAGTATTACTCAGAATAGAAGGTGGGAGGACTATGGAATGGCTGGTCTAGAACGGATAATGTTGCTAAAGTCATAATTCTTCTCCTAGGAAAAAACCTGTTTGCTCAATCATGGATAGAAAAGGGCTACTGCCCATCATGGGAAGGAGGGGTGGGATGAGGGGAGAAGAGAAAGGACTAAGAGAAGGGAAAAGGAAAGGGGGAAGGAGAGAAGGAAGGAAAGGGAAAAGGAAGAAAGGGGAACGGGAGAAGAAAACCCTACTTGGCTTGGCAGGCCTCAGCTTCCCAGGCCACAGGCAACTCTGCTAGAATATCCTCCATGTCTGTTTTGTAAACTTATCAGAGTCAGTGGCTAACACTGGAGTCGCCAAATTCACATTAAACAAGGCATCCCAGGGAAATCTGCCTGCCGCAAATCTAAGGAACCCTTTTCCTGAAAACCGACGACTGTGGCCCCCAGCACTCTGTGCCTTCAGTCCCCGGGAAGATGGGATCCCAGCTGGAAGTCATTACCTGTTCTGCCAATGCCCGCGCTGCAGTGGACCACGATGGGCGGCCCTCTGGGATGACCTCTGAAGCGTGGTCCCAAGCTCCTGACCGCCGTCTTCTGCTGGCTTCTGACCACTCTGAGGAAGTCGATCAGGCTGTCAGCTGAAGAAGGGACGCCATAATCCGGCCAGCTCAGGAACTGGAAATGGGTCACTTGTCTCTTCTGTCGCTCCTGAGGGCCAAAAGTCACTGCTGGTCAATGCTAACCTTCACTCCGCCCAGTACTTCTGCCTCTCTGTCTCATGGCCCCTCACCCTTATTCTGGTCAGCCCTCTCAGTCCCCTTCCCTCCGGGCGTCCATCTTCTCCCTCTTTTTCTTCCGAGTTACCCTGAGCCCCTTCCCCAGTGCCTTTCCTCCCGGCTCTTTTCCCTTCTCCTGAACTCCCCCTATCAGAACCTCCCCCAGGATGCGAGCTCCAGTTCCAACCCCAAAGTCTTGGTGTCCCACTTCCCAAGGGGGCAACCCAGATCACAGTCCTAGGACAGTCCGTAGTGTAGGGCCCATGTGCAATGCCACCACAGCATTAGGGCAGCAGCGCTGGGACGGCAAGGAGGAGACAGGGCCCGCTACGCAGCACACGGGAACTCCCCCGATCGGATGCCCAGAGAGCAGCATGGAGCGCCTCCCAATTCTTCTTTTTCCCTTACACCAAAATCAATGCTAGCTGGAGATCTGAGGACACAAGCTTTTCCCTCCAAAAGGGAGACCTCACAGAGAAGGAAGGTAAGAGGGTTACTTCTGTGTTGTGAATTTCCAGCGTTGTTTTCTTATAATGGTTCATGTTTTCCACTCCTTGATTGGTCACTGTGAGAAAGCCAAATCGGATCTGACTGTCTTTGTCCAAGGGCCAGTACTGGCCACACTTTCTCCTGCCGCCTTCCTCGAATCTGCAGGGAGACACACACAGGCCCAGGGTCAACAGCTGGAGTTCCCTAGCTAGCCATACACCCTCACCAGGGCACGTCTCCGAGACCTGCCGCGGCCGAGCCCCGGGCCTCCCTCTGACCTGCTTTACAACACCTCTGCCCTTGCCTCCCCGCACAAAAGCAGCCCAGATCCCTTCTAGAGGAGTGACAAGAGCCCAGGGGATCTTCTCACTGCCACTGCCTCTAAGGAAAGGCCTCCGGTACCTTGGCTGTCTCTAGCCACACACAGCCACACACACATCATGCCCATTGTACAGAAGACAAACTAGAAGAAAAGGGACTTCAGGAGACCCTGGTGCGCTCGGATGAGAGGGAAGGGAAACTGAGTCCTGGCTGTCCCAGAACTGGTGACACCTCAGCCTGAGCTAAGAGGAAGGAGGGAGAGAGAAGGTAAAATCAATCAGTATTTATCAAACATCCACTAGGTTACGAGGCACTCTCCTCACCTCTGAGCATGGCAGTCCCTGCCCTCAGGGAGACTGACTCCACTGGGTTTGCAGGCATGAACACAGAGAGGAAGAAAAAGTAATCTGGGATCATTGGGTGAGATGAAGAAGGTCCTCTCTGGTAGGAGAGGGAAGGAGGGACTCCAAGAGGCAAAGGGGGAGGAAAAGGGAGTGCACACCACACAGGGGCAACCATGTGGGCAACGATCCAGAAGCAGGAAATGAGGTCAGGTGTGGGAAACAGCCAGCAGCCAGCAGCAATGAACCAGGCCAGAGCCGGGGAGTCGGACCTGTGCGTCAGGTATGTAGTCTGGCGGCTGTTTGGAGGGTAGATGACTGAGACGCTAGGAGGGGAGAGGAAGGCCAGAAGGAGGGTCCTGTGAATGGAGGAGACAGGCGGGCTACGTGGTGGAGCTCTGTCCAATGAGACCTGGCAACTGGCTGGCCATGGGTGAGGGGAGGGAGGAGGCAGACGAGGGAAGAGCCAAGGGTGACTCTGAGGCTGTGTATCTGGGCACCTGGGAGCAGGACAGAAACAAGGAAGTCGGGAGGAGGACACAGCGAAGGAGAACGAAATGAGTGTCTCTGGGGACACAGAGGGTCGGAGATAAATGACCACAGAACACCCAGGAAGAGAGCCAACGGGCATTTGGCCACGTGGAACTGGAGCTCAGGGGAGAGATGTGGGCTGCACGTGTCGATGAAAGGGGTGATAACTTAACCCCCAGAAGCTGTGAAATCAAGAGAGAGAAGAAAACAGGAGCTACCGTGACTAGACAACAGGACACCCATGGACGATGATGATGAACCAGCAGAGGAGAGTAAGCTAGAGCCATCGCAGAGACAGGAGAATCAGAAAAGCACAGTTATCACAAAATTCCAGGGGCAGCTAGGTGGTGCAGTGGATAGAGCGCCAGCCCTGAAGTCAGGAGGACCCGAGTTCAAATCCGGCCTCAGACCAAACACTAGACACTTACTAGCTGTGGGACCCTGGGCAAGCCACTTAACCGCAATTGCCTAAAAAAAAATTTTTTTTTAAATTCCAGGGAGCCGAGTGTATCCACAAGAGCAGGAAATAGTCAAGTGTCAAAAGCACCAATAAAACCTTTAAAAGAAAAGAAAAATTGGGTGATGGAAGTGGACAAGCAAGGAGGAATGGAATGATTAGTGATCACAATAAGCACAGGCAGATGAGGAGGGGCACAAAAGGTTGGGATTTGGGAAGAATTTTGGAGTTCTGGACAATGGAGATCGAAGAATCATGGATGAGCTCGGGGAATGGCCATCCCTCTGAGTTTAGTTAATAATATATAAAATGATGATAATAATAATAATAAGAATATAGAGTGAACATGCAGGTCTTGGGAGCTGAGGAAGATGGTGAACTGGGAAGTCAGGATGGGACAGTGAGACTCAGCATGGGCAGAAACTGGCCAAGAAAGCTAAGGGAAATGGGACTTTTTGTTGGTATTTTAGGTGGTTTTGGGGAATTGTTTTGTTTTAGTTACATTTAAGAGAAAGAAATCCAGAAAGGGGTAGCAGGATTGATGTGTGCAGTGAACAAGACAGATGGTAACTAAGAGAGGACGGATCAGTTTTTTATTTTGCTTTTGTAATTTCTGCCAAGGAGAATGACCCCAGGACAAGAAAGAAGAGAAATCAATGATAGGGAATAGTTAGCAGAGATGAGCAGGAAGACAAGAAAAGATGGCTTAGCTGCCTTGGATGAGTTCAAGCCTCTTGAGCTCAGGCGAGCACCATCCCAGAGGCTGGTCAGCCAATGACATTGGAAAGATCGTGGAGGAAACGAGAGGACAAGGGATGGGCACATATGAAGAAAGGGAAGAGGACATGTCTGCAAACTCCAGGCCACTGAACTGGTAAAAATATGGAGTGGATTATTAAAGAAAGGGCAACTATTAAGAGTGAGCATGGCTTCATCAAGAACAGGCCATGCCAGACTAACCTTCTTCCCTTTTTTCACAGGGTTATTAACCTGGTGAGCCAGGGGAAATGTTCTATGGGTTTTATCAAAACAATCCATGAAAGTATCTCATATTGTTCTTATGGAAAGGACCAGGAGATGTCGGCTAGATGATAATACAACTAGACAGAGTCAGAACTGGTTGGACGGCCAGCTTTGAAGAAGAGATATATTAAATGTCTGACATCAACCTGGAAGGAGGCTTTCAGTGGAGAGCCCTAGGGATCTATACATGCCTGGGGCTGTTTAACATTTTTGTCAATGAGCAGAGATAATATGATCATCAAACCTGTAGAAGACACAAAGCCTAAGGGATAGTTAACACATTTGATGACAGTCAGGATTCAAAAGAGATCCTGACATGCTACAACACTGGCTAATCTAGTAGATTAATATAATAAAATGAAATTTAATAGGGATAAATGTAAATTCTTACATTTTGGTTCAAAAGATGGACTTCATAAATATAAGATGGGGGAGGAGACAGACAACAATTCATTTGAAAAGGATCTGAAAGTCTAGTAAACTACAAACTCAATGGAAACCAGCCCAAGCACTATGGCGGCCAAAAAACTCATGAGACTCTGGACGGCAGAAAGGCAGGAGGCTCAGCTTCTAGGAAGAGGGAGGCCATCCTTTCATTGTGCTCTTGTCCAGGTCAGACCATCTCTGGAGCCCTGGGTGCAGCTCTGGGCACCACATTTTATTTTATTATTTTTATTAATTTATTTTGATTTATCAACAATCACTTCCATGAGCTTTTGAGTTTTACATTTTTCTCTCCCTCCCTCCCCATCTCCCTCCCCAAGATGACAAGCAATCTTATATAGGTTATACATATACATTCCTATTAAACATATTTTCACATTAGTGATGTTGTAAAGAAGAATTAGAACCAACAGGAGGAACCACCAGAAATAGAAAACAACACAAAACAGAAGAAAAAAAATAGCAAACAGCATGCATTCAAATTCCATAGTGCTTTCTTTGGATGTGGATAGCATTTTCCATCATGAGACCTTTGGAGATGTCTGAGATCCTTGTATTACTAAGAAGAGCTAAGTCTGTCAAAGTTAAGTCATCGCACTATGTGGCTGTTACTCTGTACAACATTCTCCTGGTTCTGCTCACTTCACTCTGCATCAGTCCATACAAGTCTTTCCAGGTTTTTCTGAAGTCTGCCTGCTCATCATTTCTTACAGCACAACAGTTTTCCATTACATTCATATACCACAACTTGTTCAGCCATTCCCCATCTGATGGGCATCCTCTCAATTTCCAGTTCTTTGCCACCACAAAAAGAGCTGCCATAAATATTTTTGTACATGTGGGTCCTTTTCCCATTTGTACGAACCCTTTGGGATACAGACCCAGAAGTGTTGTCTGGGTCAAAAGGTATGCACATTTTTATACAGGCACCACATTTCAGAAGAGACACTGATTAAGCCAGAGACATCAAGAGGAGAGCAGCTGTGATAGTGAAAGGGCTTGAGATCCGTGGCATTTAACCTGAAGGACAGGACTGAGGGTGTTTAGCTCACAGTACCTGCATCCAAACACGTGAAGGTCTGTCAAGTGGAAGAGGGATTTAACCTTGCTCAACTTTGCCCCAGACAGCAAAGCAGGAGCAAAGAGAGGAAGCTGCCAAGAGTCACACTTAAGCCCTTGTTGTTGTTCATTCACGTCCGACTCTTCCTGACCCCATTTGGGGTTTTCTTGGCAGAGACACTAGAGTGGATTGCCATTCCTTCTCCAGCTCATTTTACAGATGAGGAAACTAAGACAAACAGGGTTAAGTGACTTGCCCAGGGTCACACACCTAGTTGGTGTCTCAGGTCTTCCTGATTCCAAGCCCGATGCTCTATCCACATGCCTACTGTCAGGAAAAACTTCCTACAAATTATGCTCTTCTAAGAGTGGAACGGGCTCCCTTATCTGAGGGCTTCAGGAAGAGGCTGGGTGATCACGTGGGGGTTATGTCGTAAAGGTGATTCTCTGTGACAGATGGGTTGGACCAGATGGCTGTTGAGAGCCTTTCCAACTTTAAATTCTGTGATGTAGACCAACCTACCCATTTAAAAATGAGGAAACTGAGGCCACGAGAATTTAGGTAACCTGCTCAGGCTGACACAAAGAGCCTGAGAATCCAGGGATCCTGAGTCTTATGCAATTGCCTTTTGTAATACACACACCACTAACTGATCACTAGATTGACGTTCTGAGCTCTGACTGCTCTTCAGCAGAGCTTGCAGGTAAAGACACATCTGACGGACTTAAAGAGGTCAAAACCTCCTTGGGGGAAAGACCTTTATGTGTCTCCTCCAGAGTGCCTAGAACAGGGCTGGGCCACCTCTGACACAGAGGGGCCAACTAAAAAAAAAAAAAGCTACTAAACTGAATTTAGTTAAGGACTTATTAGGAAACAACAGTGAAGTCACTTTAGTCCTTGGGTATGGTTATCAAAGCAAAGATGAGGCACAAGTTATATCGCTATGATGAATTTACAAGATTCATTTCCATTACAATTTAGTTATACCAATTCCCCAGTAACTAAGCAGAGAGTGACACAGCTTACTCTCCTTTCTACCAGGGTTTTCCTTTTTTTTTAAGTGAAACTTTTTATATGTAAAATCAATTTTTAACATTCTTTTTTAAAATTTTGAGTTCCAAATTCTTTCCCTCTCTTCCTCTCTCCCAGAGATGGTAAGCAATCGGATATAGGTTATACACGTGCAATCATGCAAAACATATTTCACATTACCCACATTGTGAAAGAAAACACACACAAAAAAGAAAGTTAAAAAAAAACCACTCCAATCTGCATTCAGACTCCATCAGTTCTTTCTCTAGAGATGGACAGTTTTTCATCTTAAGTCCTTGGGAATTATCTTGGATCATTGGATTGCTGAGAACAGCTAAGTCATTCACAGTCAATCATCTTACAATATTGCTGTTACTGTGTACACTAGCGATGGGGAGCCTGCGGCCTCAAGGCCACATGTGGCCCTCTAGGTCCTTAAGTGAGGCCCTTTCACTGAATCCAAACTTCACAGGACAAATCCCCTTAATAAAAGTATTTGTTCTGTAAAACTTGGACTGTCAAAAGACTGCACCCAAGGACCTAGAAGGCTACATGTGGCCTCAAGGCTGCAGGTTCCCAACCCCTGTTCTAGTTCTGCTCATTCCACATCAGTTCATGTAAGTCTTTGCAGGTTTTTCTGAAAGTACTCTGCCAGGATTTTTCTGACCTTCATTATCAGAAAATCAAAACCATTCTCCCACCTCCCTCCTTCAGACCGTGTTCCAAAATCTTGACATATGACTCCAATATTTTGATATCCAACATTATCGTCTTTGAAATTCAATTCTCTGATCACATCCACCCACAGCCATGCAAGTTTTCACCCAATGTTTCATAATATATAACGCAAACACATTCTTCCAACCTCAATCCATCTCCCCTACTCTGACAGCACTTGCCTCCACTCATAAGGCGTCGTGGGGATGGGACAGCAGTGGCGGTAGAGGAGCAGGCACTCACCGTGTGGTCATAACAATCACCAGCACTCTCTGCTCCCAGACCATGAGCCAAAAGTCATGGTAGGTGTTCTCCAAGGGACCTGAAGTGGTAGAAGAGGAGACGGCATGTGACACAAGAAGGCATCTTTTCCTTTCTCTCCTCCTTCTTCTTCCACGCCCTAACTAACTATGGGATCTGGGTCGTCCTTCCGCTCTTTTTCCTGTGGAATGCACCCATGGCTATGGTTCCAATGATCACTTCTACGACGACTGACCAGCCCACTTGGCTGGTCCTTTCATCTCAGCTAAGCCCAGTCCCCCATAACCATCCTGGATGGCCGTCCTAGTATCATCTCAGACTCAAAAACAGACCTGATTCTTCTCCCTGCCTCTCTTCCTTCCCTGAACCCTTCCATGCAGAGATCCCTCTCCAGATCTTCGTGGTTTTGTCATATATGCTGGCAATCTCCTGACCCCCTCCCCAGACAGCAATGTTGATTCTTCCTCCTCCCTTTCATCCTTCCTTCCCTCGATAGCCAGGTAGTTAACAAATCCTGTCAACTTCTTTGAAAAGGAGTTTCTCTCCTTCCCTTTGCATTTCCTCTACTACCAATCTAATTCATATTCTCTTCTCATCTGCCTCCTAGCTGACCTCTGATTGCAGTCTCTCTCCAATCCAACCCACACACCACTTAGAAGTAGTAGTAGTAGTGGAAAGAGAACCTGGGTTCAAATCCAACTTCTGCCAAGTACTACTTATGAGAACACCTTTCTATGCCTCAGTTTCTACATCTATAAAACAAGGTGGGAGGAAAGGGGTGGCAGACTAGACAACCTCTAAGGTCTAGCTCCGAATCTGTGTTTCAAGGATAAACGGTCATAATGTTCCTAAAGCAACGCATCTATCTGGCCACTTTCTTGCTAAAAATCATGAATGGCTCTCTCTGTCCTACCTCAAATCTGCTCTCTTCTGCCTGGCTTTACGGGCCCTCCATCACGTAATCCAAGCCCAACAATCTTATTTCCCAGTATTCCTTGAGATGACACTGTGCTTACGTTGGGCTGATTCCTCAATGTCACGCAATTATGCTGTCCTCAGACTTAATCTCCCCCTTACCTTCGCTTAGATCCTTTCCCCTACATTAAATGTCTTCCCTTCTTCCCTCTACCCGTACATCTCCAGGCCATATTTTCTTCTTGCCTATCAGCCTGTTCATGAAACCAGTCCATACAGAGGTTCTCTGCATCCAAGAAAACAGTGTGATGTCTTCTTTTGAAGGCCACACATCTGTTTATAACACTACTGTTGTTGTCACCTAATGACCCACAGATGGCCAACTCAACTCTGTGACATTAGCGTCTGATTCATGGTCCTTATGGCTCTTCCTCTGTGCCCTCTTGTCATCCTTAGGGCCCTTCAATACTTATGTTGATGCCCCTCTGACAACTTGACCCCATAATAATTTCCTCCATGTTCAATTCCAATGACCATCTTCTCTCTCTTCACTTTAGTCACAATACACTAGAAAGGCCACACCTTAGATCTTAAATCTCTGCTTTCTATCTGCAGTTCCAGGAATAAGATGCCCCTCTTAGGATAAGCTGATCACTGTAAATCCCATCACCATGCTGCTGACTCAGCCTTGGATACTCAACACCTTCCCACCTCTCCCAGCCTCATCTCCCCTCTGACTGGAGGGCTGGAGAATAGAGCACTCAAGTCCTCCCAATGCTTTCCTTTGTACGGGGCTGGACTCTCTAGTTGACCACTATCTTTCCATCTGCAGCTGCTTGGCTTCAACGTCACAGAACAAGATGGTGTTCCTCTGGCGTCCCCTATCCCCCTTTCCATCTTCCCCCATTAGATTGTAAACTCCTGAGAGCAAGGACTGTCTTCCTTTCTCTTATTTATACCCCAATGTTTAGTATAGTGGTTGGCACACATTAGGCACTTAATGAATGGAATTCTCTGTCAAAATTGTAGGACATCCAATATCTTGAACATGCTATTCTCTGACCAAACCACCTGTCCTTCCTCTTCTCTCCCCCTGCCATCCACATTTTCACTCTCTGTAATAATACATGACCTAGACTTCTCACAATCTCAGTTCATTTCTCCTACTCAGTTATCACATGCCTCCATACTCACACTAGACACCAAGGTCTGCCACTTCATTAATGTTTCACCAAAAACTACCCTATAACTCCTTGCCTTCCCACCCTTGACCCCTGAACTGTCCCCATCCACTGTCCCCAACTTGGGAAGCCTTGTCTTCAGTTCTGGGTGAGTCTTGTCATACAATTTCAATGCCTAAGCATCGCAAGACACAGCAAAGCAACAGAACTCATTCTGCCTGCCACAAACTTATGATTACTTAACCTCAGAGCTGACCCCTCACTGCCAACCATGCTCATCTACCCTTACCAACCTCCTGATCTCACATCTCACAACAACTGCCCTAAATCTGAACTGCTGACCTCATGGAAAGGGGAATAGTTAGAGGGAGTAATTTAATAGAGAGGAGTTGGTCTTGAATGGACACTTTCATCAAGAGTACACCAGCATTAAAATAACTATTTTTCTGTTGGTCAAAAATAATAATGATAATAACAATAACCTAAACTTGAACTTGCATTTGTTTTACTTTGCTATGTAATTTACACATTAATTTGTATACTGTCCCTAATGGATTCTAGCCAAAACACAGAGTGTAAGGATTGTTTTCTCCCACACTCTCTACCTGTGCCCCCTTTGTTTCCTCATCTTTTTCCCTGACCCCTTAATGTCACAGGTGTCCCCAAGGCTCTGCCATTAGCCATCTTGTCATATTTCTCCATAATTCCTTCCTTGGCAATCTCATTCACTTCCATGGCTTCAACTATCACTTTTTGAAAATTAATTTACTTTTTTAAAAAAATTCTGAACTTAACACACCAAAAATACGAGCATTTCTACAATGCCACATAAGGCATAAAAAGAGGGTTGTATAAAAAAATCATGAATCTCTTTCTATTCCATTACCACTTACTTCATTTTAAGTATATAATAAATTTCTCATGTTAGCTTTCAAATTCAGCTATCAGCATTATGCAAATGACTTTCAAATCAATATATTTAGTACTGCATCTCTAATTACCTTCAGCAATATATCCAAAATTGAGTTTATTACCCTTATACCAGCTTCTCTTCTGATTCTCTTAGGTATATCTGTCTGTCACAACGCCTCCCAATCTGTCTCCCATGTTTGAAGCCTTAGCATTAGCATTACCCTTTCCCTCTCCTATGCAGTCACCAAGTCCTGTTCATTTTACCTTTGTATTTGTATTTGTTTTGTTTTGTTTTTAATTTGGTTAGGCAATGGGGTTAAGTGACTTGCCCAGGGTCACACAGCTAGTAAGGTTATGTTTCTGAGACTGGATTTGAACTCAGGTCCTCCTGAATCCAGGGCCGGTGCTCTATCCATTGTGCTACCTAGATGTCCCCATTCCACCTTTGCACTCATCCTCACATGCTGCTACCACTTCAGTCCAGGCTTCCGTGACTACCCACCTGTACTACTGCAATATCCTTTACTTGGGCCACCCAATGACTTCCTAATCACTAAAGCTAATGGCCTTTTTTGCCCACCTGACTTTTCGGTAGCTTCTGTCACTGATGACCGCCCTCTCTAACTGTATACTCTACTGGCCTTTGGCATCAGACACATTTCTCCTACAGAACCAAGGAGAAGTGCATAGCACTAAGTCTTAAGGTGTGTTACAAGACATTAAGAAATAATATTAGACAGTGTCCTGGCCTCACTTTAACTGAAGAGCTACACAGTCTCTCTAGAACACAAGACTTAAGCTAGGTTGCAGCCAGATGCTGGAGGGCCTGGAATGCTAGGATCTGGATTTTCCCTTTCCCTCACAGTCAATAGAGAGGGGATGTATCCAGGCAGAGAAGTGAGCGGAGCAGTTCAAAGCATCAGGAAGATTTCCTAGGCGACTGGATTAAAGACGAGTTGAAGAAGAAAAGGAACTAGTGTCAAGAAAACCAGCTAGAATACAACTATAACAGAAGCAATGAGCTCCTTAATTAAGATGGCGTCACTGGGAGTAGAAAGAAGGAAAGGAACGCAAAAGATATTAGAGGGGCAAAGTCCATGGAACAAGGCAACCCATCACATAGCGGAGGCGGGGGAAACAAAGAAAAGAGGCTAACAGAGTTAAAGATGATGAGACAGATACGGGGCTAGACCAAGTACAATTAGATAAATACGAAACAGGGTTCATGGTCGTACTCAGAGATCAGCCACTAACGATGCCATGTTAACTCGAAAGGAGCTCCCCAGGGAAATGCCCCAGGGATTTGTGCTTGGTCCTGTGGCGTTTAATATTTTCATCAATGACATCAATGTGGTTGGGGGGACACGGGAGGGCCATGGCGGCTCTATTCCAGTATCTGAATGGCACTGACGGATAGGAAAAACTGATTAGACTTGTTCTGTTTGGCTCCAGGACACGACTAGGAGTAATGGGTAGAAGGCAAAAGAGGCCAATTTAGCTTCGACATTAGGAAAAATGTCCTAACATGAGATAAGTCACTTCAGGAGATGGTGGGCTCCCTTCACTGAAGATCTTTAAGTGAAAGCTAAGTGACCACTCTGGGGCTAGGTTAAAGGACAGAATTCTTTCTGGGTAGGAGTCAGAGGAGTCTCTTCCAGCTCTGAAATTCTGTAGTTGCTGTGACTCCAAGACCTCCAAGCGGGATGACAACAGTATAATGCCATCAACAGGGAAAAGAAAGTGTGGGGGGTGGATCTAGAGATAAGGAGTTCTGTTTTGGACATACTAAGTTTGAAACATTGGCAGAGCATACACCAGCACAGAACTAAATCTCAGGTGAGGGAGGTTAGCAAAAGAGATAAAAAGTCATCCACAAAAAGGGAGCAACAGAAGCCATAGCAGTAGATACATTATCTAAAGAACAAGGCTGGAGCTCTGGGAATACCCACACTAAAGGTGGGGGAAAAAGAACACAAGCCATCAAAGAAGACCAGGAAAGAGGGTTAAGGCAAACAAGAGTATGATCAGTCACAGAAACCAGAGAAGAAAACAT